CGCTAGATATGGAGAGAGTTTTTCTCGAATAACTTTCGAATTAGTCAAGATAGGAACAAACTAAGGTCATCATCGTGATCCTCTCGTCAATCCGCATCGAATGATATATATGTTGACCTCGAAAGGTCAAGGTCAAAGGTTGACCTCAGGTCACGTGACCTCGAGGTCATCATGTATATCATTCGATGCGTCTTGACGAGCTGAACACAATGAGACCATCCACGGGTCTGTATCTTGTTCCTGTACGGGGTTATTGGCCAAAAACCTTTGGTGACCTTTGATGACGTCACATGACCTCACAGCTGCCCAACAGCAAAACAGACCTCAAGGTAGTGAAGGTTGATCGTATATGAAGTCATGTATGGTATATGGGGCCATTCCGACCCGTTTTAGTGGTAAAAACAGGGAGTTGATTCCCCCATTGACTTATAATGGGGAGGTCGCGAAATTGACCTGACCTTAGGTCACCGATATCAAAATTCCGAGATATACAAATTGCACATACTGGTACCCTAACTAAACCCTGAAGAGAAGAAATTGATCGGTCAAAAACTCTAGCTCTGGCGTGATTGCAAACTTTTCTGAGGTAGGGTCACCAAACCGCCTCTGGTGACCTGACCTGAGGTCAGATCAACTCAAAATTTTCAGACATGTTGCGTAGAAGCCTTTTAGGAAAAGTCAGAAAATTTGAGCTAGCTCAACGCGTTTGGGAGAAATAACCAAAAAACCTCAGGGGGGGGGGGGCTCCTGAGGCCCCCCCCCCCGCCAGGAATAGGGTTAAATGTCACAATCCAGAAACGGCTATATTGTGATGCATTGTTGCTGATTGGGGTAAATAGATAACGAAAACATTGAAAACAGTGATTTTTTGCAATGGGTGAATTTATTTAGCTAGGTAGCTTTGCTTGCAAATGCTGTATTGTTTTTTTTAACGGTTCTCCATCCAATCATATTCTCCGAAAGCATGTTACTGACGTTAATACGTTTCTGCTTACCTAAATAATAGAGTAGTACCGCCGAAACTGGAATATTAAATGCATTGTCTATACAAACGGAACTCTATAACTCATACTCATAACCAGGTGACAACCAAAGTTGGGGCGTTTTACCATACCCGTAATGTAAAACGCCCCGTTTTCAAAGGTCTTGCAAAAGCTCATTCATGCTGGAATGTAGCATTCCAGTGCTTTAGGTACATATTATTCTGTTCAATGGTCTAAAGATGACGCCTATAAGCATATGGTCCAATAACTAGCCTAGCGGTGACACACTTTCTTAAGGGGGCGTTTTGCACGGTTCACCTCTACCTAAGAAATTGCTAAGATCCGCAATCATAAAACATGGCTCACAGCAGGGCTGAAGCATGAAATACGCAAGCATGACCGGTTATTCAGGCTTGCTCAGCGCCACGACTCAGAAAGCCATGCAGCTCAGTTCGCCGCCGATGACGACAGCATGGTCGGGTGGTTCGTTCCGCGACAGGGTCCGGCTGTTTTGTGCGGCTCGGCGGGGCGGGAGGGGGGAGGCAGGCGACGCGTCTGACAGGCGACACTTGAGCGTCCCGGGAATCAGCTGTCACCGTGTGGCGCGGCGGGCCGTCCCTCCGATCCTTCCCATTGTTACCTGACTGTGGGCGCCGGCCGCCGGTCCTCCGGAAGGGTCACTTTGGTATGCGAAATCTTCACCGCACTTGCCCACTGTCAGAGAGTGCACTGAGGTACAGTAGTTTCTAACAGCTCGTTCGATTGGTCTGCCTGCTCAGCCAATCATATTCTGGCAACCTTGAACCTTGGGACCCAACGTCGCTATGGTACTTCCGTATAGCCTGAGGCACCTGGGTACTTATGAATCTTGGGTCCCGTTGGATCTTGGGTCCGACTGTACTTGGGTACATTTGATACACACCCGTTACGACCACTGAACTCTATAATGTGGAATGCGCATCGGCCGCCAGATGGTGTCCAACGGTGCCGCCATGTTGCGCAGACCAGAAAGCGGCCGCCGCCTGTGTTGGGGAATAGGAAATTCGGGACTTCGATTTACGTTTGCGGCCGCTGCATCCGTTACGTTCAAGATATGTAGACACGGAACCCGGCATCCTACGCAGAATTGAGTGGAGAACAAGATGACATCTTAAAAAATCCTCGACTGCAGGGAACTTATACGTTAAACCCTTATAAGTCAATGGGGAAATATGGAAATTGTTATTTTGGCGCCGGGAATGATCTGAAACTAGCTCAAGCATATAGAATCGTGATTTCATGCACTCCTTGCAAGGTCCAATGCCTCACATTTGCACTGTTGCCCTTGCGTGACGTCATCTGTGACGTCACAAGGGTCATAGCCTTTTCTTCAATAACTCCCGATCAAATTGAGCTAGCGAGTTGGGAAAGCCACCAATGGACTCAGGAAGACCTGCCGAATCGAATGATATGCGACATGACCTCTTTCGACCAACTTTGTGACCTGGGGGTGCTGACCTGACCTTGACCTGAGGTCAACACCCTAAGTTGACCTGACCCGAACAAAAAGTATATCACTCGATGCGCCTGAGCTAGCTGAACACGATGATGCCAAAATCGCGGCTCTACGGCTATTTTTGGCGAAGTTATGTACCAAAAACCGAACCCATGCCTTTGATCACTTGACCTGACCTCAGAGGTCACTGGTTGACCTGAGACCCTTACAGCGGGTTCCTACCAGTCACTCTGCATTTTACTTTGCCGCATACGACCACTTAACCGCTTAATTCTGGTCTAATTAGCGGCGCATTAGCGAGGTGGGTTCAATCAACCCCCTCGGCCGGGGCAAATGTAGGTCCGGCGAGTGAATTTGAGGAATTCTGAAGATACGATCGTGTTCCCCACTCAATTCTGCGTAGGATGCCGGGTTTCGTATCTACGTAACTTGAACGTAACGGAAATGGCGGCCGCAAACGTAAATCAAGGTCCCGAATTCCCTATTCCTCAACACAGGCGGCGGCCGGTTCTTGGTCTGCGCAATATGGCCGCCACCGTTAGACACTACGGCCAATAGGGTTGAAGCGGCATTGCTCCCCTGTGGTTACGACCATACGACGTACGGGAATGAGTTATCAGCTGTCTAATCGTAGACAACACAATGTCGAGCACAGGGGAGCAATGCCGCTTCAACCCTATTGGCCGTAGTGTCTAACGGTGGCGGCCATATTGCGCAGACCAGAAACCGGCTGCCGCCTGTGTTGAGGAATAGGGAATTCGGGACCTCGATTTACGTTTGCGGCCACCGTATCCGTTACGTTCAAGTTACGTAGATACGGAACCCGGCGTCTTACGCAGAATTGAGTGGGGAACACGATCGTATCTTCAGAATTCCTCAAATTCACTCGCCTGACCTACATTTGCCCCGGCCGAGGGGGTTGATTGAACCCACCTCGCTAATGCACCGCTAATTAAACTAGAATTAAGCGGTAAAGTGGTCGTATGCGGCAAAGTATAATGCAGAGTGACTGGTAGGAACCCGCTGTAAGGGTCTCAGGTCAACCGGTGACCTCTGAGGTCAGGTCAAGTGATCTAAGGCACGGGTTCGCTTTTTGGTAAATAACTTCGCCAAAAATGGCCGTAGAGCCGCGATTTTGGCATCATCGTGTTCAGCTAGCTCAGGCGCATCGAGTGATATACTTTTTGTTCGGGTCAGGTCAACTTAGGGTGTTGACCTCAGGTCAAGGTCAGGTCAGCACCCCCAGGTCACGAAGTTGGTCGAAAGAGGTCATGTCGCATATCATTCGATTCGGCAGGTCTTTCTGAGTCCATTGGTGGCTTTCCCGACTCGCTAGCTCAATTTGATCGGGAGTTATTGAAGAAAAATGGTGACCCTTGTGACGTCACAAATGACGTCACGCAAGGGCAACAATGCAAATATGAAGCATAGAACCTTGCAAAGAGTGCATGAAATCATGATTTTATATGCTTGAGATAGTTTCAGATCATTCTCGGCGCCAAAATAACAATTTTCATATTTCCCCATTGACGTATAAGGGTTTAACGTATTAGTTCCTTATAGCTGATGATTTTTTAGGATTTCATCTTGTTCTCCACTCAATTCTGCGTAAGATGCCGGGTTCCGTGTCCACATAGCTTGAGCGTAACGGATGCAGCGACCGCAAACGTAAATCGAGGTCCCGAATTCCCTATTCCCCAGCACAGGCGGCGGCCGCTTTCTGGTCTGCGCAACATGGCGGCACCGTTGGACACCATTTGGCGGCCGATGCGCATTCCACATTATAGAGTTCAGTGATGTCGAGCCTTAAACTGTAAGCCCGTATTGGTATTGTTTCTTTTATTTGGCTGTCGAACATTATTTATGGTTTGAAATATGATTTTATGTAAAATACTTGATATGAAAAAGCCGTCTTATAAGTTATGACCCCATTTCACCACACGCAAGTGGCAGAAATGACAATGATCAGCTGACGCATTTTTATTGGCCGAAGTCAGAGCGCGCGGCCCGACGCACCACGCGTATTTGGAAATTCCGACCTCGACGAGCATCAGAAGCCACCTAACAGGCGTGTTCGAAACCGCAGGAGATGATGATGAACGGGTTTATCGAAACTTGATTGGATGAGCATATCGGTAATAGCGATTTCAGTGTGTGCATTTATTGCTCATAGTGGTGTGAAATGTGGTTGGGGTACGACCGACAACCCGTCGGGGCGAATTTCGCACTGGGGTACTCAAAATTTGAAGAATTTAAGACGTTTCCATGAGTTTTGAAGGTATGGATAAGTTCTAAAAATCCGGTTCTCCTTATCTGGGCCATTAACTCCATACGGTCCAAGAAAGCTGGCACACTACCTTTAAACAGTTCGTAGCGAACCGTCAGTTTTGCAGCTGCACATAACAACGTCGCTGTTACGCTCTACCATCGCTTCAAAATTATGTTTCCCTTCTTTTTCACTTTTCATGACTGTCAGTATATTTGCTCCGTCTCTCTGCGGCTGGTGCATTCCTCATCCCTAGCGCAGTACCGCAGTGCGAGTTTTGACCCCGTTCACTCCGTTTTTCAGCACGAGTCTGTTCTCGCTGGGCAGCGTGTCCGAGTGTCTGCAGACGCTGCTGGCGCAGGGCATCCGCCTGTACCCGGCGCACATCCCCTGGCTGCAGGGCATGGCCGATCTCCGATACGGTTAGTGACGGGGCCAGTCGGGTGGATGGCGGTATAAAAGTCGTATTCTGAAATCAGTGTGTGCCTGCCAAGCTTATTTTTTTATGTCATATGAATTATGAATCGTTACCAGAGCTTTCGTGTTAGATATGCGTAATACATGGTTAACACTCCAATGCTACCGGAATTTCCATCGGTTTTCTTTATGTTTTTCCCTGTCTCATTTTCACTCGCCGTCTTGCTCCACTTTCCTGCCACAAATATCGATCGTATATCAATTCCATTTTCCCCACCCCACTGTGTCGCCCTGTCCCTGCGCGCCTTCTAACCCCCACCGACCCCTCAGCGGGTCACGAGCCGACCTCGTCTCTGCGCCACTACCTGGAGGCGTGTCTGGTGAGCTCCGAGTACTTCTCGCGGCCCGTACCGCGCACCGTGCTCAGTGAGGCTGTGCTGCGGCGCATGATCAAATGCTGCTCGGCGCTGCACTGCTACACGCAGGTACAGGGGATGGATGGGGGTGGTGTGGTGGGAGGCTGGGAGGGGTGAAATGGCTATCGATCAATAGTCATTTGGCTGGCGATGACTAGACTTTAAGACCAGCTCAGGAGTAGGTGCTTTGCTATTTTCTAACGGTGACGAGGAAAGCAGTGAATTTGAAGATCTTCCCCAGTCTCTTGTGTGCTTGCTAATGATTGAGCTCGTCGTTGTTTTGCCAATCCTGTCTATCCGGCTGTGCCTGGACTATAAATTTAACGGTCATCACGAGCTGTTGCACTAAATCTCGCTATGCTGTCTCTCTGTGCCCTGGTTAGTGGTTGACTCCCCCTCCCCTCTCCAGGCGACCGTGCTGTGCCAGTTCCTGTGGTACCGCTCTATGTCTCTGTTCTGACCCCCCCCCCTCCCCTCGCCAGGCGGCCGTGCGGTGTCAGTTCCCTTGGTACCGCTCTATGTCTATGTACTGACCCCCTCCCCCCCAGGCTGCCGTGCTGTGCCAGTTCCTGGACGACGTCGACTACGCCAGCGCGTTCCAGTACGCCTCCGAGCGCAGCTGCTCGGACGCCATGGACGCCTACTACGAGTGTGTCTGGGACGTCACACTACTCGAGTTCCTCACCAGCCTGCACCACCGGCGCGCCGAGCGCACCAAACGACAACAGGTCATCAAACTGATCGGACAGCTGGAGCTCAACTCCAACAATAACGAGGAGATCCAGCGCGAGGCGGCGGCCGTGCGCAAGGCGCGCTTCCTTAGGGCGATGGTCAAACAGTATGCGGCGTGACGAACGGAGGGCGAGGGTGGCGCGGAGCAAAGGTGGTGATGGCACGAGCTGCAGTGTAAGGGACGGTGTGAGGATGAGGTAGGCACGGAGGGTCATGTCGAGAGTGGGAGGCCGTGGGCTGTGGTTGGTGGTGTTCGGTGAAAAGGCTGTGTGGACTCTGGACAGAGTTCGTTCATAAGTCAGATGAGGGGTTTGAAGAACCCGGCGACCCGCGCACTAGAGTCTTGGCGAAACGGAACTGATTATCGGGCTGAGCGTTTTGTCCATCCGGCTGGCAAAGCTCGTCCTTCTGGCAAAAGGCCCACGTGACCCAACCCTTGCAATCGCAGACCCACTCTGGCACACCTCACGCACGATACCGAGCCTTGTTACCCCACGGGACCTGGCGCCAAGCTGAGAGCCAACCTTTTGCATAATTCCACCGCTGTGCTGACGAGTGAGTTGTGGAATGAGTGTGTGCTCATTGCATCAATGGCGTGGGATCCGTGTAAATGTGGCGGCAGACTGGTCACGAAGTTGCTATTGTGTGTTTCGGTGCGTGTTCGATATACGTGCTCACTGCTCACATCGCATATTATGTTGATTTTATGTGTATTGTAATTTCATGCTGTATAAACGTACATCATCGTGTCAGAATGGTCGTTTTAAATGTCCGAACTGTATTTATTCAAGCAAGCGCTGAAGGATGATATATTTCAGTCGCCATTTTCCATGGCAGTTGGGCCAATAGGACCTTGCTTTAGATCACCATTCGTTCGACACTAGCATCTGCTGGTCTGCGTCATAAAGTTGACAATGGATGACTGATGAATGAGGATACTAGTGGCGACCAAGATTCCTTGGCGACTGGCGACTGAACTGAATTTTAGAAATAATTTCATCTTGACCTGTCTCGTTGTAGTTTGTTGCATTTCAAGTTCAACGAAACGCCTGGAGGGGTTAAAGAAAAAGATGCTGGTCGCAGATTCCGGTTAAATTTCAAGCGGTGATGGAAAGACAGGGCCAAGATTATTTAACTAGTAGACAGGGCCAGGGCGAAGACAATTTTCGTCAAGATTACTTTACTACTCATTTTCGTGAGCCTGGCGTTCCGATGAAGCGATTTTGGCACTCAGTGAATTTGGTAGCGTTCGCGTGATACATTTATGGTGCAGCTGGGACAAAATATACCGCAAAAATTGACACGTAGCGGCCCGATGCCGTCTTTGAATTTTGTGTCTCGATAAAGGCGTACGACGAAGAGGTATGGGGAGATTATCTGGCAATTTTAGTTTATTCATTGGCTGTAAAAATCCAAATGTTTCGATGACCGGCATGGCCCTTGGCGTTTCTCACAATTGGTTCAGGAATTGGAGCTGCCATCGCCATTGCTTATTGATATTTTGCTCTCATTCCATGATCGCACAATTTTGATGTGAAATTAAGCTGTGTATTTTTTGACAAATGAAATATTTAAACAGTTCCTCTGTGTAAAAGTTTGTTGATTGTGTCGTCCCATTTTTTTATTTTCCCAAATTTTGCCAAAACCAAACCAAAACTCAGTCACAGTGCTGTCGTGCAAAGGCAAAAACCATTATGTCGGGTCAGAGGCCATTACCTCAGGTCAGAACTCAGAGGTCACCCGAACATGATGGGTTTTGCCTTTATATGGCAGAGTGGGTAGGATGGATGGGAAGTGTAAGCTAAGAATTCAATTTAACTACCTGCTTTTGGGCATTTTTTAGTTTTGTTTTGAAATATTATATATGCTTGTGTCTAGCAGTCCCTTGGACTTAATGTATACTTTTACCTGCTTGTCTTATGGCTGCTTGCTTTCAGAGACAATGGCAAAAAGCACATGTGTCGCCTATCTTCTCTGGCTAACACTTGGTGTGTTCGGAGCCCATCATTTTTATTTGGGAAGAGACAGACAGGCGTTCCTGTGGTAAGTTTTGTGTTTTGCCATGCTGTATGAAATTTATTCTTTAATTTTCTTATTAAACTAGGTTCTTTTCATAAACTAATGGAGAAACTGTGATTTTCATCATAGCCTTTGCTCATTTTTTTTTTTTATAAATTTAGTCCGAACCTTTTGATGGGAAGGATTCACAAGGACAGAGCCACCGCTAAGCGAATCTTGTTGTGATGACCCTGCCCTCTACCCCCGATCGCGCAATTCCGATTCTATGGCAGAATTTAGAGTCCAAAGTTTAACGTACGCACAAAGCCGCGCACGGCCGGTCCCCTCGCTGACTTCGCCTGGCTACGGCCTGCCACCAACCGCAACCATACCTGTCAGGAGGCCCATACATGTCGAGCGCCCGTCGCGCTTCGAACCCGGACTGTCATAACCGGGAACGCGTGTTCTCACCACGCGGAGTCCAACGCTCTAACCAACTGAGCTACGGGACCGGCATGAATGTCCAATATAAATTGCATAATGAAAGCTTGCATTGAGATAGACAATAACTGCCCTAATTCATTCATGTTCACAGGTTTGTGACATTTGGAGGGGTTCTCTACGGCTGGTTCAGCGACATAACAAGAATCCCAGGCTATGTTGATGATGCCAATCACGATCCAGAGTACCTGGCTGAGCTGGCTCGCAAGTTCAAAAAGTACAAGAAGGTATGCATTGCAGCAAGATTATATGGCAGTTAATCATTTAGTGAAGTCCTGCCAACCAAGGTTTCTTTCATAGGCTTTTGTAGGAATAATATCTCCCATATCTCCCAAATATCTCCCATGAAACTAACTATGTACTTATGTACTTACCTATCCAGTAGGTACATTTATCTACCACTGCATTGCTTTGTGTTCTAGAAGAGCAACTATCATACTAAATGGTTTTTATAGTTATTGAGCACCACCCCATTGAGGTCCAAGCTGTCACCATTCACTCATTACCATCCCTCTCGTGCAGCCACCGGTGAGCCTGACGCGGTGCACGGCCCAGCTGCTGCTCGGCATCTCCTGGGGCTACACGGCCATGGCTGCCGTGCCCGAGGATCCGCAGCTGATGCTCCGCTGGCTGGTGTACATCGTCACCCCGGTGGCCACCGCACTCGGTACGGGACCGGGGAGGAAGAGTGGGACCAGCCGGAAAATGTCTGGAACGAACCTACAGCTCTCTCCGTGAGAATGTTTCGTATTGAATAATGGTTCGTTTCTCCGTTTTCAACGATACCTTGAAAACGATCGGCAACACTTCGCTCAGCTATCAGTATAATAAATAATTATGGGTTGTCAACAGTCTGACCATGTTGTCATCTCTGTTCCTCTGTTTCTCATCTCTCCTCCCGTGTCTGTGTCCCCTCAGCGGTGCACACAGTGGGTAACGTGGGCCGGTGCCGCGGCGCGCTGCGCTGGCCCCTTCTGGCCGCCTTCGCCACGGTGCCACTGTACTTCTGGAGTCTGCAGGTGGTCCACTACACTGCCCTGGCCAGTATCGTGGCGTTCGAGTACGGGGCCAAGGAGTGGCGGCGCACACCGCACCCGCCCAGATCCGCCTGCAGGTCAGGAGGCGTGGGTGGAGATAGGAACTGGGATGTACGGAGTGGAAAATATAGCGAGCGGGTATGGAGACGGAGATGGGGCAGAGACGAATACAGAGAAAAGGAACGGAGGTGAGCCGTGAGGACCGGCACATTGACGAATGTATAAACCGAGCCGGAAAGTGATTGTGCTGATTAGCGACTGGCTTGGCGGCGCACTGCCCCGCCAAGGCCGTTGCTGTTGTGCCGTTTGTGTAGGTATTGTGTGTCAGTGTTAATGACTTCGCGCCCATCCCTCCGCTCCCCAGCCGGTTCGGAACGCTGGTCGTCTGCGTTCTGGTCTTCTACTCGATGTGGGCCAGCTATTTCTACTTTAACGCCGCCGTCATCGACCGGCACGGAGAGAAGACCATGTTCAGGGACGCCGTCAAAAACTTCTTTAAGTCGCAGCTCTGGAAACGCATGAAGGTAGGCATGATGGGTTTTGGAGGCTGCGTTAAAGTGATGTCGTTTTAGTTTCAGTGGATAAAAGTATAACATAACATATAATGAATATGCGGGCATTTTATGTGGGCTTAGAGTAAATTTACGTCATCCTTACTCCTAAGAGGCCCTTTGATCGTTTCAAGCTTATTTTGTTTTTTGTCTAATTCGTTAAACTACGTTTACGTTCATTGGTCATCACCCCTCTCCCCCGAGTTCCATTGACCATTAAACTCATCCTCCTGTCCATTTCAGGAGGAGATAGTCCGCCTATTCGAGCTGACCCGTACTCAGGGCTGGTCCCGCGCCTGGAACTCGTTCCTCGAGAGTGTGGACCCGTCAGGGCGGTACGCAGCGTTAGAGGTAAGATATCCGCTCCCGCTCGGACGCGCTGGGTCGGGGGAAGCGTGCGCACGGTCGAGGGGGCGGGAGAGAACGGTATCTGTTCATAGTTGGTGTGGCGATGGGGTCTATGCGAAGTGATGGCTACACTGTTGTGCCTCATCACATAATTCTTTGATGTTTACGTGAACCCGGCAGGCCTTTCCATGTCTCTTGAACTTGTTATCGTGTTTCAAAACAAGTAGTCTCCGCCGTGAATTTGACTTTTCCATGCTGAATCAACACCACTCTGATAGCTTGCGCAGTGTTTCCAGTGGCTTAGCTTCTTAGAAGAGTCAGACATTTCGTTTTTTCTCACAGACAATGACAATGACAACAATTACATTGTTTTTGTACCTATTGTCATTGTCTGTGGGCTTAGCTTCTGTCTGTCGATTCTGATGGCTAATTTTACACTCTCACCACACAGTGTATAACGTTTCTGCTCCTGCCGTGCCTCAGGTGCTGGGTTTAAACAAGACGGCCACCCAGGAGGACATAACGGCCCGGTACCGCGAGCTGACCAAGACCCAGCACCCGGACCGCTTTACCGACCCCGGTGACAAGGCAAAGGCCGAGGAGGCCTTCATGGAGATCAACCTGGCCTACGACAAGCTGTCCAAGATGCGGAACAAGAGGCGGCGGAGCAACAGAGTCTCCCGGGAGGAACGGGTGGAGCTGTGAGAGGGCGGGGTGACGGAGGGCTGAGGTCAGTGAACAAGGGTTCCTCTGAGAGTGGACGGGACGTGTTACCCCGCCCTCAGTTTTGTGGGAGTGCTGTGTTGGCTGATTCTGGGTGATTAGTGTGTAGATGGCTAGGGCACAAAGCACAGGACATAAATGCGAGGACTGCATTACGGTATACATACAATGCCGGTTGGTGTTATGATAGCGTAATATTTATTCTCGAGTGAAAAGTTTTTGGTAGATGGGTGTCATGCCCATGTGATATTTCATAATCTCAAAGAGCTCAACGAACAACGAATGGGGTCGCGTCCTGGATGCGTGACGAATGTTAATAGCTTATTAAGGACGCCCAAAAGCGTAGACAAGCTCATTGAAATGAATTAGATCCGTGGTGCGTCGGGGCAACGGCTAGAAAATCCCTATTTGGTGTCAGTCACCATAACGTGCCTTATATGTCGGACTTGGCGTATTGCGGTACTCGCTGACAATATTTGAACCGTTTGTTCAAAACGATTTTTATCAATCCTACGTTATTGTTTCTTACAATGATAAAGTTGGCCTCGGACTGTTCACTGTTGCTCATCCCGTGGATCTCGGGTGTATTTAGCTTGCCAGCAGCGTTGTTTCCGTTGCTGCTGCAGACTAACTTGAGGCATTCCTTATTGCTACCTACTTAAGCACGGGTGTGGGGATATTGTTCTAAAGTATTAGTTTTGCCAGTACAGCTGTGATTGGATGATCACATTGTTTGCTGTTTTTGAAGCATTAGATGTTTTATTAGTCACATTAGCATTAGCTAATAGCCAGTTTTGATACTTGTTTGTTGTGGCATTCCAAATGATCTTCCCTTGCACAACGCACATTGCACAAACTTTGTTGTTTTGCGGTATAATTATTTTGACACGTTGTTTTCCTGAATATAATGATATTGCTAAGTCTGTTTGTAGTTTTTCCAAGGGAAACTTTGACAGTGGTGCATTCACGAGGAGAACACTCGATGACAGCCAACATCAATCTGGTAACCTACCGGATTGGCTTTAGTTTTCGCCCCACGGCCGGTGCGATCGGGTCACGCGGCCGTGAAGTGACCGCCGGCTGTCTCCCGGTATCAGAGCCGGTGGAAGACGCGTCACCGTGATCCCGGGGTGCCAGCGGTCCGCTCTGGCTCCTGGCCAGCCTCCGGTCGGGCCGGACTGGCACGGAGCCAGAGCCGCCGCCGACGGCTACCCACCGACCTGAGCGATCGACGGTGGCGGTGGTAACGAAACGACCGGTCATCAGAGGTCAATGTGGTAGTGCGGATCCTCCTCGAGGACTCAGTGGTGAGTGAGAGAGATGGTTGGATTCGTTCCATCGTGCTCTGTGAAGTCGCTGGACTGAGGTGGTCAAAGGACAGTTCACCCCTCCATACCGCGGTCACCTGTTGGTCGGAGGAGGCGGAGAGGTGTCGGCAGTGACGCACGGCCGGGGGGACCGGTAACCTGAGGTCGCGGACCGTCCGAGCAGCCATGACGCCCCAGCACAGAAGGCAGGCGTTCGGGATGCCGCGGCAGGGCAGGTTAGTGACTTTCGTACTGCAATGTTTATCACAATGCACTTGTCTGGAGCTTTTACAAATGTGGCTTCAAATGATTGCAAGGATAAAGCAGAATTTACCTGTGCGAAAATGCAAGTATTTATGATGAGCCTGTTATCGAAGTGTCTGAATGATTAGGCATGATGATGATGATAATGAGAATGATGAAGCATCTCCCCCATCTCTGACCCCGCCTCCCCACCTCCGTCAGGGGTAAGGTGATGATGTCCAGCGTCCACGACCAGTTCATGTCGGCGTGCGTGCAGCGGAACGAGGCTCGGTTTCGCGAGCTGGTGAACCGGGTGCGCCTGATCGGCTCCAAGGAGACGGTCAACCAGACAGACCCCGGCGGACGGGTGAGAGGGAGAGGCCGAGGGCGGAGGGTGACTGAAAGGGCCGCTCTTTTGACTCTATTGCCGCTCACGGATGAGCGGCAATACGAGGTCGAGATGGGGACTGGTGGGTAGGATGGGGTAGAGTGTAGCAGGTAGCTTTCGGGGTGAAAGATGAGGAGGTCAGGATAAATAAGATGAGTAGAAGCTTGGTTACCGCCGTTATTGTACGCGGCTGTGAGGGCCATTGTGTGGAGGGTGATGACATGCGACATGAACGTGGCAATAACCGCGTAATGAGTACCCCGACATCCCGTCAGTTTCCTGTCTCATATTCACCTGCCTGTTGGGTACGGCAAGCTGGGTGGCTACCTGTTGGGTCCAGTGCTCCCACAGACACATGACTGATGCAATATTCTGTTCTTATCCCTGTGACTCACCCAAGACGTCCTCGCTTCCTCCAGACTCCCCTCAGCCATCTCTGCGGCCACGGCAGCGACCGCTGTGTGGAAGACTGCTTACTCGTCCCCTCCTCCCATTCCCTCCCGCAGACACCTCTCAGCCACCTGTGCGGTCACGGCAGCCACCGCTGTGTGGAGGACTTTGCGCGGCTGAAGCTTGTGGACGTCAACCTGGGGGATAAGGACGGAAACACACCGCTCCACTACGCCGCACAGGCAGGTCTGTGTGGCTTGTGTGCGTTTGCGTTGGATGGGAGGGAGTGTCTGGTTAGATAGAGTAGCCAGTGTCCAACCTATAACTTTGATTTCAGATTAAATAGTTGAGTTTTGCCACTCTTACCTTTCCAGAGACTCTAGATATGCTGCGTATTGAATATGATGGGTTATATTCTTTAAGTCTTTAGAAGCTGACGCATCGATGAAGATTGAGTCTGAGTTCACATAAAAATGGTCACGTCATTTCTTTGGTAAAGCTGACGAAGCTCAACAATGCGCCTGTTCTCTCCCTGCAGGTCATTCCGAGGTGGTCGATGTGCTGCTCAGCAAGTTTGAGGGTATCGAGGTGGACGCCAGGAACCGACTCGGGATTACACCGCTCATCAAGGCTTGCGTCACGGGAAAACAGAAATGCGTCCAGATTCTGCTCGACAAAGGTGAGCCGGTGAACGATTTTATTTACACGTTAAGGCGAGAATTTCTTTAAACTGGCACCTTTTGCTTAGATTTGAGGCCGCTAGACACTTGTCTTTTACCTACATGTGCCCTACCTTATTTTTTCAAGTACATTGTATTTGTTTCAGTTTCTAACTTAGCTGTTCACTGTCTCGCAGGTGCCGATCCGCTGGTGAGGGACCCCCGGCGCGGCCTGACCGCTGCACAGTGGGCCCACCTGTGCTCCTGGCCGGCCTGTGCGCGGGTGCTGCAGGTGCACGCTATGGCCACGGACACAGACCTGAGGGCCGGCCGGACTCCGGTCCCAAACTCGGTGACCGTCCGACGGTCGACAGTGGTGACCAACGGCGAGCTCAGCACCGATACAGCTGCGGAACCTGATCCCGACACTGGACCGGAGTCCGCCGTCGATCCCTGCTTCCAGCCAACAGCCGCGGAAACCTGTCCCTGTCCGGATCTCAGTGAGGATTCTGGGATAGACCCTGACTCCGTCAAAAACTCCGGTCCTGAGCAGGACTGTGACGCCGTCCTGCACTCTGAGCCTGCCACAGAGGTCCCAGAGAGCAGCGAATGTCAGGAGAGCCGTCTTCTGCAGTGGTTCAGTGAGTCTGACCTCACCCGAGAGCCTGCCTGGCTCCGGGAGCGGCACACGGCTCTCACCGGAGGCCGCCCTCCCGGCCGGCGAGCCAGCCTGCCCGACCGTCCTGACATCTATCGGCCGGTGGAGCCTGCCACCTGGCGGACGAAACTGGAAGTACCGGCTATCCGAGTGCGGGAGGTGGAGGCTCCCGTGGATCCTGTGATCGTGCAGTACGGCGACCCGGTACCTCCAGATCAGCTGGCGGTCCAGCCAAATAAGGTGAGTTTTCCCATCATATCATACAGTTAGCATTCTCGCTCGGACACTTGTCATATTATTAACGCTTCAATTGATGGATGTTCCTGCGAAGTACGATAACCGACGATGCCCATTCGTGATAAAAGTAAGTTGTACCGTGTACAGTTACATAACATAGGTAATGCCTACTGGAGCATTGTAATTGGCAGTCTTCTGACACTCTCCATTTGTTTCAGGTGAAGACTCTGTGCTTACCCGGGATGGGAAAAGGCTTCGCGTACGAGTAACCGAGGCAAGTGTAATCCACGCCGCTCGAACCGTCGAATACGTATGCAGTTGGTGTATCGTGCTGGGTTTCTGTGAACATTCAGAAGAAAATACATTCTGCTTTTGCATATCAATCAACATTCTGCATCCCACATTACAAAGACGATCTACTGTTGCAAGTACCTATATATTTATTACGACTTCGAGAGCACCTATATGAAATATTAGTCGGAATGACTTTGCTCGCCCCGCAGCGGACGGGCGCTGACGAGCTACGACTCCATCACTTTTAGTCAGTCGTGAGAGCCCTCTTCCAGGTTCAGGGTCCGGTGACTCGAAAGTCAGAGTCAGAGTCACCGAGCGGCCAGACTGCCCGGATGACTCGGTGAACCCGTTTGTAGTACGTGCTCTCATTTCCGCCAGCACTGAGTACGTTAGGAGGGGCGCCGGCGGACTGCACAACGCCTCGAAAAGCTGCCTCATGAGATCTAATATAGAGAGTCGGTGACAGCTGACTAAGGACAGCGAGCGCTGTCATGGGGTTGAGGAAATCAAGGAAAAAGAAAACATGAGACACGAGTTCGTCCTGCGACACTTCACCATCAAACACGTCATGGCAGGCGCCATCAAAAGATGTCATGACTAAATGTCATCAATAGTCATTTCAGCTGGCAGTTGACTACAGGTTACAATACGCATCACTGTCATGCCGATTGGATGTGGCTTGGGTAAGCAGATCTCCCATCAGATCTGTCATGAAGGCTTCAGATCTTTCACAGTTGCGTCACTTTTGACACGACAGACACAGTGCTTGAGCACCTCTATCGCCACGTTTCACCGGTTTTCCCCTCCACCTTTCCACCCTTCATTCCTTCCTGTTCAATAACATTTCCTACAACCGATCGACGGCACAGCTTCACTTTCCGGGCGCTCTGTCTTGGCTCCTTGGCTCCTGGCTCTTCCGTGGACACTTCCCGACCGAACACGTTAAATAACTACTACGGCTTTCGCCGTAGTAGTTATTTGTAGAAATACGTTAGCCCGAATTCACTGGCACTGTTCCCGCGGCCGCCGCGCTGTAACCACACACTTAGGCCGCTCTCGGCCGCTCTAACTCGCACCTAGGCCGCTCTCGGCCGGTCACTGGCACTTTCGCAGTCGCGTCCTCTGCCGACACTCTGTAGGTCGCCCGGGTCGCTGGTGGAAGTTACAGCAGTAGCGCCGGTAGGTGATCTGTATGTTGTAGCCTCGGCCACAGCACATATACTCGCAGCTGCCAGGAACTGTCGGACAGAGATGGGGGCACTGTCAGCGGGTGAAATACTGACTCATGTGGCGCAAGTGGTTAGAATTACGGAAAAACACGTCATGGTAAATGCTGAAAGCGTGAGAAATAGCAGTTCATGCGGTACAAACATTTGTAAATTATGCGAGACATTTCCTCCGTGGGTGTTTTAGCATGGCGAGCATGGAAGTCATGCATCGCCTACTTTTGCTTTCGCCGTAGTAGTTATTTGTAGAAATACGTTAGCCGCATTTCTCGTGAGTTGCATGACTGAGGGCTGCCAAATTGGTTCCCGTTTTCTCCACCCAGCCCTGCCTCGCCCGTCGGCCACCGTGCTCAGCCCTCGTGCTGCGGTACTCACGGGAGCGGTTCTTTCGACACACGCGGCCGACGGTGCCGTTGTGGCCCCTCTCCGGATCGGGGTCGCAGTAGGTCGGTGACGGCTCTAGGTGCACCAGTCTCCGCCGTTCCAGGCGCTCGGTAGGGTCACCTTCGACAGCCCGCAGTCGGCGTTTGCCGGTGGGCAGCTGCACCAGGTGCACCAGCTGCGAGCTGCCCAGCTGCTGCTGCAGCCGGTCCCCGATCACCGAGAAGCTGGAGGGCGCGTCCATCCAGCACGTGCGCAGGGAGCAGCTGCCGGAGGGGCCGTGGCAGTGGCAGCGCCGGCGGCGGCCGCCCGTCACCGCCTGCCGGAGAGAGGGAGGGAGAGTCAGAGCGAGAGAGAGAGAGAGAGAGAGAGAGAGAGAGAGAGAGAGAGAGAGAGAGAGAGAGAGAGAGAGCCTCCTTTCGCAGCGAGGGAGAGCGTCTGAGAGAACAGAGAGCTGCAGGTAGCTGTGCCATCCGTGGGCGTGCCGGGTCCACTTTTGCATCTCGCCCACTCCCGAGGCCCAGGTCACCCCTCGACCCGTGCCGGTCAGTGGTCACAGAGGGCGCCGTGTCTCCGAGTCGACAGAGGGCACTGTAGTGCTCACTCCACACGACAGGCGCTCGACAGCTGGTTTGCTTAGTTTCGAATTCATTTCACGAGGGCCGCCGCTGTCACGGGTGCAGTTCCTCTTGTCAGAAGTGGAGGTGCTACATCGAAACGCTCAACTTCAAAGACGTTTGTGTGTTGTTTGTGTTGTTCTCAGTTTTCGGTCAGGAGATGGCTAAACAAACGTCGGAGCGTCATCTGAGAAGACGACAAGAATCAAAGTGGCATTCGTACAGCCGCCAAATAAAACAGTGGGTATCTACATAACTATCGAGTAGAGACCGTGTGCCAACACTACAGGAATGGTCACTTCGGCCTGTATCAAATTGGTCGAAAAGTCAAAAGTCAACAGGCCGGTGGGCTTTTCGTTTCATTTTACTGTCACATTCATTCGCTCTATTGATCTTTCCATGTGCAGATTTCCCTTGTTCGGGAAAAATGAACTACCGAGTACCGATAACGAATTCGAAGTGCAATAACAGGGATCACAAAGCCTTCGGTGCCCACGCCGGCAATTCGCCGATATACGTGGATATGGCGTGGATCAATGGATCAAGCATGAACATTAGGCAGTCATATGCTATGGCAAGGATAATCTGGTTATGAAAGGAACTCTGATAGACATAAAATAGTCAGTAGGTACACGCCGCTTTACATAATTTTATACCCGAGACAGTCGCCCACACAGTACACGGACCCTCGGCACTCGGGAGTCGGGACTCGAGTTTCCACAAAGTCTCAGCGGCTTGCAGACGACACTGCAATGCCGCTGCCGACTCATGGCTCGGCAGTCGGCAGCGGTCGGCCATACTCAGCACATTGCTCGCCGCGAGTGAACTCAAGACTCAGCACTCGACAGGCTGGGTGGCGAGTCCCGTGACCACTCCGATTTTCAGCGGCCTCCCAGTGCAGTTAGGGCCCTTAGAGGACCTTTTACACGGTTTCCCCATGTTCCCCCATCTATCTATCATTTGAGGCCAATATAAAACGAACTCACTTAGGTTTCGTGAAATACTCGTCTGACGGTTAGGTATAATCACGTGTGGCTATGTTACGTGTAGGAATTAGCTCATTTGTCACACTGCCCAGTGACAGTGGTGGACAGGCACGGGTATTTAGCCACTGTAATTACGACATGTGATAAAAATGGCGGTGTTTTGGTGCTGCTAATTTCGCTCAATTTCAGTCGTGTTCTGCATGCAACCAGCGACCCGCACCGGTAACGGAGACACGCTGCTAAATGGCATGGTGATCGGTGCATACGGATTTTAACTCATACAAGCCAACACATTCGTGTTAACTATAATCCCTACATAATGCTAGATTGTGCGACATCAGCATACGACACGACTCGCGAAGCTTAAGTATATAAAAGCTGTTACGTATATTTTTTTTATAGGATGCTGAAGATTTTCGCGAACGCTTAAACGGATTATCCAACGCATTTCGCCGATGCGACTCTGAGCCTAACTGGAGGTAACTGTGACGACCCGGTTGCTAGACTCGCTGCAGAATCTGCCTGTCTGGTCCTGAGTTCAGTCATAAACGGCCTGCAGATGCTGCGGCACTTGTCATCTGGGTACGCCGAGGACGCCCACATAGCCGTCATAAACGTGTAGTAAGGATAATGGCTCCAGTATTGAGTAGGACGACGCACCCTCGGATTCGACGTCGACAGCGAGGCAGTTCTAAGAGAATGGCTTTGCTGTTTTTTTTTTTTTGCAAATTGCTACCTTGAAAGGCTCTTTTGCCAGGGCTCCCGCGCCCCGTTTTACTAACGCGCTTTGCTATAACGAGATTCGAAGCATACATTAATGCTTTGTTCATCAAATGGGCGGCAAATTTTCTGCGCGGAAGTTTTCGTTTTGATACAAAAATTGTCAAGGGCCAACGCTACCTCGCCTTATGTTAATGAATAATGTTTGTATGTTATTTAACATCGCACATCGAGTAAGGTTAGGTAAACATACCTAAATGCTTGCAAAACCATTTTATGCTGGTAAAACGAGGGCCTTTAACCCTGGAACTTATCCTGATTTTCCTCATTCGTTAATATTCCAAGAAACGAAAGCTAACGGGGACAATTTCCGACTAAGCCTTACTTTTCGATAGTCGGGCTGTATATGAACAGAAACAGCTCCCATATTCCGTCATGGCTTACAAAGACAAGGCCAAATGGATGGTAGCAAATATCTGAGCGAATAATCATCTGGTCAGACAACTTTCCCGCGAGTGAGTAACCGGCGACTTTCCAATCACTCCGTCCCAGTAATGAAGACGGGGGAGTTTTGGCGTCACGAGGCGAGGTCAATGGCTGCGCTCGCATTGCGTCAGGTGGTGACGAGGCACACCTCGGCAGCGGGTGACAAAAATAACAACAATGAGCGCGGCAACATCGAATGAGTGAGGAAAGTTCCCTGTTGAACAGATGGTACAGCGACCTGAGCGGTAGTAGAGACGGCTCTGGACCGGTAACTTCGATATGCAGCGATAGATCCTCAAATGTGGGGCCTTTATCATTTCTACAATGACCACCTTACACGGGAAGCTTTTTTATTCGGGACACGCTTGGACCAATTGGTATTTCCGCTACGTTGTTAATAGTTTCACAATTTATCTTAGCGAAATAATTTAAGCGTTTAAAGTAATTATATAACTGGATGATATAGGACTTCATTCAAATTCAAGGGCCACAATCACAAACGCTGCTAAAATAATTTCTTTTTTTGCGAGACACGCACAACAACTATATAACTCCTGCAGGCACGCCGGCACTGGAGACCAGACAGGCGCTCTGTCGCAGCCCTGAGCCTCAGTGGCGTTTACTCTGTCCCAGCCCCGAGTTTCAGTGGCGTTTACTCTGTCCCAGCCCCGAGTTTCAGTGGCCGTAAACGGTTCCCAGCGGACACTGAAGACGGCCTCTGACTGCTCCATACATCTCCACCTCACCCGCCGGGTGACAGCCACTGTGCGCCGAACCCTAATGGGCGCAGATAAGGTGTTATGGGTCGTCCGGGGGTTTTATTCACTTCGTCGTAACGCCCCGTCCGGGTCATTCATTCGGGTATATCTCTGCCGGGGCGGGGAGGCGGATAAAAATGGTCCCGAGGCAATAAACGTCTTCATTTGAAGGAACACGGTCCATCTTGTGCTTCCGTATTATGGAAATTGATGGACGGTAGGACACTTATAAGGCTGAGTCGCGACTGAGTCGCACCATCCTTTCGCGAAAGGATGGTGCTCTTTTATCAAACCGTCTTTGGCTTAGAATTAAAAAAAAACTTCTATCGCTGAAAACGGTAGTACAATCGCCAGTGTTCCCTCATCAAAATGCTGTGAGCATCCCTGTGGATCCTTTTATTCACTTGGACACTCAGCAGTTTCGGATACGAGTCTCGTACAACCAGTTATAAGGGACGGTATAGCAATCAATCAATGGACGGGTCTGCATTGAGCGTCTACCCTTGCATTGCACCAGCTCTCTGTAACAATGGGCGGCGACTGCCTGTGGTGCCAACCCGCTGCGATCGACCATCAGACTACCGCAGGGGTCACTCGGATGAAATGACGTGGCACAAACGGCTCCATCAGACAGCGGCGAGCGGTTCATGACGCTCAGTCAGCGGCACCGTGGGTAAAAAGGGCGGACAGATCGACACGGAACATAATCTGAATACAATACGCCGAAGGTGTCAGATGTTCAGTTTGTGGTGCATCTGTCGGGCTTTATCAGCTCACCATGTAAAACTAGGATTGATTCATAGATAGGTGATTGATTCTGGTGCGTGAGGGCATTAAAAACGCCAAGAAAAACGAATATAGCAAATGGCGTTCGTCAATTTTAACAATTCAATACACGCTCGATCAATGAAGTGAACGGACTAAGTCGACAAAGGCATTGTGAAGCGGTTATGCGGACAGACCGGACTTTTGTGCGAGCAGGATCGTCAATCATTTTGAAGAAGAACCCACTTGACCTCATCAATAATGGAAGCAGCAGCCGGACAAGTCTATCGCACAGACATGTCCTTTTTGCTGGCCGGCTCTCCCTGAGCTCCCATTCCGAACGTCTCAATCGTTTCCATGAACGGAAGTCATCTCCTTCAATGTCCTACCAATGCCGTCCAATCGTGCGCTAACACACCAAACTGCGCTGAACACGCTGAATGGGCGCTAACGGCGACAAATCACTGACGTCAGTCTGTATGGCGAGGGCAGTCCAGTCCAGCCGCCTCCACTCCCATATCTCTACTTCCCCGCACGTCCCGCAATTCGTCACCATTGCTGTCCATGGAACTCGGCCCATAGAAGCCAGCTGTCCCGAGGGACTAGACCTAGAGGAGACCGTTGTCCAGTGTCAATGGACCTATAAGTCGGAGCTGAGTGTCCAGTGGGGGACTGGGCCAGAGTTTGAACCTGTTATCCAGTGACACTGGGGCTTTAGCCGGAGTCCGTTCTCTATTGGACAGGGCCAGGGACAGGGCCTCGGTCGGAGCAGCTCGCCCTCACCAGCGGGGGGCAGTGAGCGACTCCACACACCCGCCGCACGGTGATGGATGTCCCTCTGTGGCCGATCACTGAGAGCACCGCTCGCTGTGAGCCGGCCGGCAGACGGGCCGGGGCGGGACGGACCGGCGGGAGGCCACGGACGTCAGCGAGCCGCTGAGAGCTCAGGGCAGAGGGCTGCAGCTGCCGGTAACGACAGCGGCACCTGCCTCCAGCTGGCCATGTCCTATACCTGCCTTGAGCCCTGTGGCCATTTGTCAATGCCGGATAAAATATACATACATGTATTACCGGCTTGGGTAAGGCTTTCTGGTCTCCTACTCTATGGCGTCTCTTATTTTTACATTCCTCTCTTGCTCTGTCCTCTCTCTTTCCCTCTCTCTATCTCTCTCTCTCTCTATCTCTCTCTCTCTCTCTCTCTCTCTCTCTCTCTCTCTCTCTCTCTCTCTCTCTCTCTCTCTCTCTCTCTCTCTCTCTCTCTCTCTCTCTCTCTCTCTCTCGCTGTTTTCATCCTACACACCTTCATACACACTCCATCAATATTGGATGTCAATACAGGATGGCTTTGAACAATCATGTCACGGACCATGTGAGGCCACAACTCGGCGTTCCGGCCCTACAGGCAGTCTAGGTAACCAGCGCTGGTTACCTCCATATAAGCTGATAAGTGATTGATGAGCGCTAGGGACTGTCATGTCACAGTGCAACCGATCCAAACTGCGCTCCGTGGACTCACCGGGGGCCCTGGTCAACAGAGACGGACAACAGACATTGCTCAGAGGGAATACATCGGCAGTGGGTGCTCAGTGGAAATCGCTGATCGAAGAGATCGGTGAGTAGGTCGTGGATAGATGGTCGTTTATTCGTATGCTTTAGGTATATAGCGTAGACAGATGATTCCGATAAGGTTATTTGCTCTGACAGTTATTGGAAGGCGGAGGTTATTTTCGTCTTAGGTTCACGCGAAGGCTGTCGTATTTAGGAACTCCTCACGCTACGTGGCAGACCAGTCAGGCTATCGCCTACATCACGTGCCTCTTCGTGGCGTCTCGCTCCAGCGCTCACAGCATCATCCTCACTGGACCATAACCCCGCATTATTGGTACGCCACCGCACCCTGCCCACGCGGCTCGTATAAGGCGGCTCGCCGACAGTGGCCGGTTTTTAGGGCCGCTCCCCACCATCCGGTGACTGCGTGTCGAGCGCAAACAGCGCGTTTAACTCATCCTGTCGTCAATGACATCGCGCCGGCGGCCGTCAGATACGATCGCCGCGCCGACCGAGCCGAGATGACAGCCGGCTGAGGCCTAAGCCGCCCGGCGACTCCAGACGATGTTGTTGCAGTCCGGGCGGTTCCATCGGTCGGCCCCGGGTTGGCGTTTAGTGCCGCTCTCGGCCCGCGCGCCCTGGCACCGCGAGGCACCCGGAAATGACGGGAACTGGTTATGAGCAGTGTGCCTGTCACTGGCCCCGGACATTTGCATTTGATATGGCATCTATGAAGTAATGGCGTCATCAAAATCGCGTCAGTATAAAGATGACATCGTAAGTGGGAGCTCATGGGACGGATGCCGTCTAAAAGACCGTCCATTAATGTTTGGTTTGAAGCCTCGGGGGACAGACTAAGCTCATGGATGAAGCTCATTATAGGGAAATGCGGCTCTATCTTGTTGAATTTAATTTCTCTCCTCATAATCCCCGACATTCCTTTCATATTCTCTCTTCCATATCGCTTGCTCCCCATCTCTCTCTCTCTCTCTCTCTCTCTCTCTCTCTCTCTCTCTCTCTCTCTCTCTCTCTCTCTCTCTCTCTCTCTCTTTCTCTCTCGTTCACCTCACAGCAACTTTCCTCGTTCCCTCTCACCCACCTCCCTTGCCAAGGCTGGCGAGACACCCGAGCTCTGCATGCTGTGAATCTACATATTGTCTCAGCGAGAATTCGACAAACACTTCAGCGGACACACATAACACCCAGTCGTGACAGTGGTGGCCCTAAGAAAGTCCTCGGCTCGGCGCGTATGCTCTCTGGACTGCCAAGCTGTCAGCGTGTGTGGAACAGTCGTGAGGCAGCGCCTCGTTTGGCTCGCTCTGCGCCGTTGTCACCCTAAGGTTGATGAGCCGTATGATGCCCGGAGAAACCCGGCACCTCAACCGAGCTGACGGAGACGGCAGTAAGATTGGGGTGACATCAGCCGTCCGGTACATTGTGCTGCTCTGGCTGATGACACTATAATAATTAATAACGTAACAGGCTGCCAGCAGACGCGTCATGTTTCCAAGCGGGTCAGGGTGTCAGCTGACAAGAAATCTTGTGACTTGTATGCACTGTACATTGTAGTACATTGTAAGTAGATACATACATGGACACCACTGTAATCGTGCGAAATGATCGCACTGTGCGCATTATATGTACACTTTCTGATATAGGTGTATAGGAGGTAGGTGACAAGCTCCAACCGTGACCTGACCCCTCCATGACCAACATTGACCCTGACCTGACCTCCTTTCTTACCAACCCTGCTCTGACCCCCTCCACAACCTTCCCTTTTCTCAGACTCCTCTCTGACCCCTCCGTGACCTACCTTGACCCCCGCGCGGTTGTTGTGCCGGTTCATGAGGCTGCGCGCGTCCCTCTCGGTCTCCCTGGCGTTGAGGAAGCGGCGCGCAAGCCGGCCGCTGTGAGTGAGGCCCTCGCCGCAGCCGGACCACTTCCAAAAGTCCACGGCGCGGGTGTCCGGGCCCGGCTGGCGGCACGCGCAGCCTTCCACGGTACCTCTCCGACAGGCGGCGTACAGGGCGTGCGTCACGGCGGCACTCTGCAGGGCGTACATAACGGCCGCCTCCCGGGTACCTGGCGGAGAGGTCACAGCAGGTCAGGGCAGCACAATGCAGGATAGGTCAGGCTAGGTCGGGTCAGATCAGAGCAGGGCAGGGCAGGCATGATATGGGCAGGGTAGGGCATAGCACTGCAGAGTGGGACAAAACAGGACAGAACAAGACAGGCTAGGGGAGGTTCGGTCAGAACAGGGAATAACAGACACCCCATAAAACCTATGTATCTGTAAATACACTCACTCACTTCTCCGCCACCATCTTTGCCGAACGCAGCGCCGGACCCGTCTCCGAGGGCGGCCTAGTTAGCCGTCCTACACAGATCTGACAGGTCTGGCCAGACCGCAGCCTTTAGCAAAATTTCGGACCTGACGAGTGAGGGCCACTGCACTGGCTGGCACTCGGCAGACATATTCGATGTCAGAAGACTGAGCTATGCATCACTGATCAGCCTATAAAACCTGTCCAGACGGCATTCTTCCCGTGTTTGGATTTCTAAGTATGCTAATTACAACTCGGGCCAATTTGGATGCATGCCTATGATTAGCAATGTCATTAATTATGATAGACATCACAATGTAGGTACGGTAAACGGTTCTACATGATTATTCCACAAAACAGCACATTCATATTTAAACCTAAAGCACAAAGATGACTTCTCTCGCATGGTTATTGAGGTTAACTGACCTGAGTTTGCAACGTGAAATCAATAGTTCCTAAAGGGATACGTCCTGCTGCAAATAAGGAAGGCTTCGTGATTAGGTATAAGCACAGATCATGCACGACGTAAATATGATCCACATTCGTGACGGCGGTGCGAACGTGACTTTCTCACGAAACAAACAAACCACGACGCTACTTCCGTTTCTTGTTTCGCTAGCAGTTTGTGATGCCGTGAGCGCCTATATGTACTCCAAAGGACGACAGTTGTCCCAGAGGAAGTCAACTCAGCCTGGGGTGTCCAGAAGTGTTGTGACGTCCGTAAAAGTAATTGGACGTCTGTTTACAAGCCGTGTGAATGTGTTTGTCAGTGTCACGCCAGGACTCAAACGGTGCTGGTCCCACCCGTTTTTACACCAGCTGAGGGTGACATGAGCTCCAGCACCCCGCGCTCACGACATGTGGAGTTCACACAGGAACCAGACGTGTCTGGCCCACGAATGCCAACCACTTCCCAGGCCAAATTCGCCGTGTCCCCGTGAGTGCGATACAAGGCGAGCTTGTAGATCACGATAGCTCCCTAATCCGATCAGTACAGTCTGGTCTCACGTGGAAAGCACTAGACAGGCCACAGACGCAAAAAATGGTGAGGAAGGGGGCACGGACCACGGCGAATTGTAACAACCCTCTACGAGAGCCCGGCGCTTCGTTACCGGTAGCCTTGGAGTCTAAGGGCAAAGGGAGTGTTTACTTCTGCGAGTCTGTCTACTGTACGGTTCTTCGACTGTGACAAAGAATGCAAACGAAATTGCAGAACTTAAACCACATGTAACTTATTCCAGACAATTGCCTTCACTATCTTGGTATAATCCCTTCCGCGTGGTTCCCTCATGTTAGTGACTTCATGTTACTTACACTTTCACTGTCCGTTTTAGGTGCGACTGCATTCTTCGAGTGCTCCTTTTGCACCGTTTCGGCGTGTCTCATTCGTTTGGAATGCGATCGATAGGTGTTTTCTGTTGACACAAAACTCCACTCCCGTATTATTGTTCGTCCTCACCCCTTATCACATCACGCCATGTAGCGATGACCAGCAGACATTTCACCCAGAAATGAAGCTGGTCGTTGGAAATCAAATGAGGATCGGAAGCATTGTGCTGCCTTTTGCAGGCGCACGTTTTTCCCAAAGATATCTCCGATATCTCTCTTGTGACATTTACCACTGTGATCCCCGGTCCTCCAACAGGTTTGCACTAAAACGTGTCCATCTTATGTAGCATTGGGCACAGATCCGATATACGTCTTCCATTAGGACGAACGGCACGTATCGTCGATCGTCGTGTGTCCTGTCCTCTGGACACATCTCTGGTCACTCGGACACATCTCCGGCCACTCGGACACATCTCTGGTCACTCGGACACATCTCCGGCCACTCGGACACATCTCTGGTCACTCGGACACATCTCTGGTCACTCGGACACATCTCTGGTCACTCGGACACATCTCTGGTCACTCGGACACATCTCCGGTCACTCTGACACATCTCTGGTCACTCGGACACATCTCTGGTCACTCGGACACATCTCTGGTCACTCGGACACATCTCCGGTCACTCGGACACATCTCTGGTCACTCGGACACATCTCCGGTCACTCGGACACATCTCTGGTCACTCGGACACATCTCTGGTCACTCGGACACATCTCTGGTCACACGGACACATCTCCGGTCACCCGGACACATCTCCGGTCACTCGGACACATCTCCGGTCACTCGGACACATCTCCGGTCACTCGGACACATCTCCGGTCACCCGGACACATCTCCGGTCACTCGGACACATCTCTGGTCACTCGGACACATCTCTGGTCACTCGGACACATCTCTGGTCACTCGGACACATCTCCGGTCACTCGGACACATCTCTGGTCACTCGGACACATCTCTGGTCACTCGGACACATCTCCGGTCACTCGGACACATCTCTGGTCACTCGGACACATCTCCGGTCACTCAAACACATCTCTGGTCACTCGGACACATCTCCGGTCACTCGGACACATCTCTGGTCACTCGGACACATCTCTGGTCACTCGGACACATCTCTGGTCACTCGGACACGTGTCCTGTGATAGGATCACACCGAGCCGACGTCGGCCAGCCGCCCTCCCGACAGCCCAACTCACGGAGAAGCCCGTCTTCCGTCAAAGTGTCTATCTATTCAGAGACAGTGTGAGCCAATAAAGAAGAGGTCTAGACTTAACCTCAAGACGCCTACAGAAGCCACACTCAGTCTGTCTGAGTGTCAAACGGGGGATGTGATCCAATGCTCCTGGAGTGACGTTACTGACGAGCTTCAATTCCAGGTTTAACTGACCACGAACGAGGTGTTATCAGTAAGCTGACAGAGGACGAAAGTTTAAATTGTGTGAGCTCACATAAACCGCCGTGTGCGGATGATTTGACTGACGGTTGATATGAATGAACGTCAGTTCGCCAAAGTGGTGCTACCGTAATGTTTTCATTCCAGATGGTCTGACAGGCAGTCTGTGATAAATTCGTTAGCGCTATCTTCGGATGTCGTGATGAGGTGAAGGTGATAGCTGTCAACTGTCAGCTGCTGTTCTGGCCTATCGTATGAATATAGGTTAATTATTTTGACAATATTGCATGTGCACCATGCAGTGTGCAAGGGTGCAGGCAGCTCACCAACTTGAAGGGACTGCTTTTTTAGTTGTCATAGGGTTGGAGATCTGATATGCTCTTTACGCTTAAATAATTTAAACTAGTTTACGACGTGCAATGTGCATGACCTAGGATGAAATACGATCTATAATTTGTTTAGGAATATATATTCGAAGGGTCCCATGCACGCAAGAGAAAAACGAACCTTGAAAAACTGAAACACAAAAACGCTGAAGTCTTCATACTAGCTACAATAAACCAAGGCCACATAATTTATTCCTACTCCCATGTGAACAGCACAATATCTAAATAGCTCCGATATAACTTTTATTTATCGCCACCGGAGGCTACTTTTGACATTTTATAGCAGCGTTGGCATGCCCGGCACGCCAGTGCTTACACGAACGGTCCTAACAACGTTCAACGCTATAACTTTTACGTAAGATGTAGCTATAAGAATGCTTTCTGAGGCAACCGCGTCACATGGTGTGTCAAAAGTGGAAATAGCCGGTGCGCCGTCTGGCAACCCGGCAGCCCGCCGCCATAGGGAAATTCATGTTTTTTGTCGCTTTTTTGCTCCTTATGAGTCACTTCATCTAATTAGAGCTTAACTAGGAACGAGGCGGGTCACTTGGACGTATTTGGGAGCCGAATACGGTGTTTTGGAGCCAATACCTGGGAAACCCTACCCGCCCAATGCGAGTTTTTAAGAGTCTGCATGCCCAAATTAACGTTGAGCGCGGCCGTTCTCGGTCGGTTTTCCGCGACCTTGTGGCGAAATTGCCTTATTTATTCAACCAGGGTGGGCTAATTCGCTTAACTAGGAATGAGGCGTTGAAGAGAATTATTCAAGGAATAGAGCTGTGCAAAAATATTTTTTGTATTGTTAAAACTGTATCCGCCCTCGAACGATGAATATTGTTGACCCATCAGAAACATATCCCCTGGAATGCGTTTGGACTTGGCTGGATCTAATATTAGCGAGTATCTGCTAATGCAGTTTCTTGGCTTACACAGTACGCACACTAGCATACATACTTCCTGCCCTTGGTTATTCCTCACTTGAATGAAAATTTTGCTATAATAACTATTCCAAGCAGTTAACAGGTTTTAGTGCAGTGCCAAGTCGGAACCGTTCAGCGCCGCCAGTCTCCCAGGCGGCGCGTAACGGGCGCCGCCGGCCGCCGCGCCGCCGCTCTGGCAGGGTGTTTGACTTCATATCTCTGTTGCTAGAAAAGTTGTGGACCGATTTACTTGATTCTTGCATGAAAAGATCCGCCATTCAATTCTTATCCGATAGCGAAAATTTGACGTCAATTACACGATCCGCTGCCCATATTGTGGTACTGCCATCTATTGACAAGGCTGGCGAACTAAAGCCGGGCGGCTATTTCCACTTTTGACACACCATGAGCCCAGGTGATGCCTAAAACTGCCTCGTCATATGTAGTTCTGATGCAACACTACATCACACAAAGGTGGAAGGCAGTTCTTTCAGGCCCGCTCTCTCGCTCTTAGTCAGGATCCTGTTCGTGGCTCAGGATACAATGTGGCATCACATCGAAAACACGGATCTATTTCTATTCTCGTGGCACTCACATGAGGCAGGACTCAAGAGGCGTCCATGTGTGTAAGACAGCTTTGTAATGTTTGTCGCTGTCACTGACCTGACCTCTGAATTCTGATTTCTCCCTCGCACTCGATTACTGACCTCTGACCTCGCTCACTGACCTCTGACATCTAACCTATGACCTCCCTTAATGACCTCTGACCTCTAACCTCTGCCATCCCTCACTGACCTCTCACTGGGCTTTGACCTCTGGCTATGATCTCTGACCGCGCTCACTGACCTCTTTACTTGCTCACTGACCCTCTGATTCTGACCTCTTCACTCTCTCACTGACCTCTTCACTCGCTCACTGACCTCTGACCTGGACGTGCCCGAAGTCGAGGTGCCGGCCGAGCGCGGCGCAGTTCCAGCGGTGCCGTCGGAAGCGGTGCCGACAGTCGGAGGCGCCCAGCTGGTAGCCGCTCAGCAGGGCCTGCAGCAGGTCCGGGTGGCGGCGGCAGAAGCGGCGCTGGCGCGACGTCAGACCGCGCACCCGGCCGCACGACGAGCGGGATACCGGCAGCGGCCGCCTGGCGGCACAGGGTCACACAGGGGTCACAAAGGGCTAGAGAGGGTCACATCAGGTCACAGATGTCCACAGGTGGCTACAGCAGGTCCACAGGAACACACATGGCAAAAACGGTCACATAACGGTACCGGGCCACACAGGGTTACAGAGGGTGGACGGGAACAAATGCAGCCAAGGTGAGTCACTTTAACCCTCGCCGGCCGAGGGGGGCGGGGGCGGGTGCCGCCCCCCCCATAGGGTTTTTTCGCGATAGCTCCGAACACGCTGGCGATAGAGAGCTGAAACTTGGCATACCTGACCTTTGATCCAAGCCGCATCTTTTGACACCAACCGCGTTTTTGGGTCAGGTCAGGTCACTGACCTATGACGTCATAAGTGAACCTCTGCACGGTCTTCAGATGTCGCAACTTCGCAACGCCCTCACTGCCAGAGGAGATGTCACAGGGAAATGAAACTTGCAGGATCTAGTATCCATTATGAGTCTCACAACTTGTATATCTCGGATTTTTCCTAAAGGTCATATGAGGTCAGGTCATTTTCGTGACCTCACCATTATAAGTCAATGGGGAAAAATGAAAACTGCTATTCTGGCGCCGGGAACGATCTCCAACTATCTCAAGCACACAGAATCGTGATTTGATGCACTCCTTGCTAGGTTAGATGCGTCACTTTTGCAATGTTGACCTTCCGTGACGTCATTTATGACGTCATCAAGGTCATATTAGTTTTTCGTCAATAGCTCCCGATCAAATTGAGCTAGCGAGTCGAGAAAGCCACCAATGGACTCAGGAAGACCTGCCGAATCGAATGATATGCGACATGACCTCTTTCGACCAACTTCGTGACCTTAGGGTGCTGACCTGACCTTGACCTGAGGTCAACACCCCAAGTTGACCTGACCCGAACAAAAAGTATATCATTCGACGCGCCTGAGCGAGGCGAACACGATGCTGCTGCCAAAATCGCGGCTCTGCGGCCGTTTTTTGCGAAGTTATTCACCAAAAACTGAACCGTACCCTGGGGCACTTGACCTGACCTCAGAGGTCACCGGTTGACCTAGGACCTTAAAATCGGGTACCAATCTCTGCGTCTCGTAACGGCGCACACGCTCGTTTTTTCCGCGACGCGCTAGCTCCACCAGGGGCGAAACGGCGAGGGGGGGTCGTACCCGCCCCCCCCCCTCGGCCGGCGCGTATGTAGAAAACCAATAGGTCCGGCGAGGGTTAAGTCAGAGCGACAGCAGGTCACCACTTCACCACTGGGCTAAGGAGAGACACAGCGGGCCACGAACGATACAAATAGAGTTTCACGGAGAGCCATATAAGGGATTGGTGAATAAGGTCAGGAGCTGTTCGAATCGGTCATGACAGGTCACATCGGATACGGGAAAACTACCTGCTCTCCCCCGTCAAAATAGCTCTATCAAACTAAGGAAGAGGCTGTCTGATTATCCGAGCTACAAAACACAGTCCCATGAAGCTGGCCCGCCTGCTAAACCCAAAAACCTACCACGTTGCATGACATCCGCCTACAGCAATCTGTTTTACATGGCAATGAATCACCAATGCACAAATAGCTCCATTGATTCATTAATAGGTTGTCCAACAAAATAATGTTCTCCTATCTCCGACATCGCTTTCCACTCCGCCGCGGTATCCGGTTGTCTGATGCATCGTTCTGAGGCTGACTCTTCAGCAGAGTCCTGCTCAATGACGCTGGAGATGTGACTTCCTCATCACTCACATCACTGCCGAGACAGCGAACTCGACAGAGATGACTATGGACAAACAATGTTCAGCGCAGGTCCACTGACTGTCCGAAACGGCTCCTCTGCTACCGAGGAGAGGGGAGGGGTTTTCAAAACTGTCACTGAGCGCTGGGTCAGAGACACGTTATACGTGCATGTTGTGTCCATCAGATGACCAGAGAAGGGGCCTGTCCTGTTCATCAATATGCCGTCCCGGTGACGATAAGATCAAGGTAAATGATTTGTTGCGCAGGGATGCTCATTAAGAAAGTCTCGTGTCATGTCTCCTGACTGAGAGACCCCTGTAAGAAATGACAGCGAGATGCTGCAGTGAATACGACCCAGCAGCCAGTCACTGAAGGCAGGCGGCTGGAGAATGATGTCACGTCGTCTTCGTGACGGGCTGCAATTCTGGAAAACCTGGCAAACCAGATGGGCTTCATTCAGGTCACGTTTTAGGAGAGAAAGTCTGAGTGAGATGATGTAAAATCGCGTTGCTGGTCATGTGGGCGAGCAAGAACCTTCGGGGCCAGAACCATGACGTGTGCTTTACCTCGCGCAACTCCAGAAACCCCCCACAGTCAACACGCGAGACTGCATAAAAAGAGACACGCTACTGGGTGCTCACTGCTCACGCGCCACGGCCCTACCCTAACGAGGCAACCACCGGGGAACGGGTACAGCTGTCACAGCGGTGACAGAAGTTGCATTACCACGGGCGCGACTGTCAGAAAAGGAGGCCACCCGAACAGGGCTCATCATCGGTCACGGAATCCCCTCCGCTGTCCAGCGGCAAATGGGTGCTAATAGCCGGTCGGCCCGCCCCGTTACCGTCCGGCCGGCCGCCGCAGACCGTTGTTTTGTTTTACCGGAGCGGCGCGCCGCCGATCACTCCCCGACAAGACGGCTACTCCGCGGCCGCAAACCTGGCACCGTCCACAAACACGGCCAGCGCCATCGGCCGAAATCCGACCGCCGCATTTTTACAGCGCTCACGTGATAGATGCTGCACTCAGCTAGGTTTCATCGGTTTCAGTTCATCAAACAACACAGCAGGAGAAATAGTCCGCAATCGGCCAATGACGGCCATTGATCAAAGCGACGTGGAGTGCAACTGCAATACCACGAGCCAAAACAATGCAACCATTCAACTTCTGTCAAACTATTGGGCATGGACAAACTTTATATACCTACTGTGATTTTAGGTCCATAACAGATCACGGAGAAGCGCTCTAAAAAGGCTCCTTTACGACATTTGCGTCTGATTTGCCATGGAAATAATGGAAATGTCTATAAACTAGACACTACCGGTGAGGTGAAAATTTCCTGAGCTGTGCGTACCTACTTACCTAAGCAATAATCTAGCGAAAAATTAAAAGTTAATAGGCATGATATCAAATAAAAAGATATCGTTTCAAGAATCAATTTCATTAAATTGCAATGCACAACAGAAAGTGCGAAGTCATTCGAGCTTAAGTTAAATGAATCTGGTTGACAATAAATCTTCCTCATTGGGTATTGCAGTGCAGTATACATTTAGGCGCTCAACTCCAACACCATCTAACGGTCAAATAGATAAGGTAACGCTATCTAATCCAATGCAGTTTTTACTGGGCATCGCCTTCTCGTCTCACTGCGAAAACGTTGGTCAAAGGCAAACACATTTTCGCACAGTGAATGTTTTTGTTTCAGGCTAACTGCTGAAGTGAGTGAGTGGCCTACACAACTCACAAGGCAATGCTAAAAAACGCAAGGCGACCCTTTATGGCCATCATTTGAAATGCATGACATTCTTTCATAATAATTACACCTAACTAAGTCTCCAAGTCTCTTTACGAGTATGTGTGCATTTGCATGATACCATAACATTTCAGCTAACAAGCGGTCGGTTCGGCTTTGAATATTTCATGCATTACGTGACACTGCAGATAGAAGTAAGTGATGTCTTAATTATGTTTGTAATTGATTACAAGCTGTCTCAAATCCGGTAATTTTTTACTTAAATTGAAATGGGCGGCTATGATTAATAGAGGCAAGATGGTTACAAAGATTTCATGCCCGCTTGTAGGTACGCTGTTGCTAAGGGATTTTTTTTTAGAAAGCTTAAGTATTAGCGTTTGTAAAAATATAAACTGCTATTGCTCAAATAAATCAACCGCCGATGTTTGACACAAGGCGAGAATGTAATTAATCAGGGGATGAGATGATCTAACGAAGTTTTTTTTTCTCACGGCCACGACGGCCATTTGTTAGAGAGCGTGATCTTCAAAGGCGTGCAGTGATCCATGGCTTGTCAGCGGTGGCAGAATGCCAAAACACACTGCAAGTTAGTCAGATAAATAAGCCCATCACTTACCCACCATGCCCCAGAGCGGCGCCGATAACAGGCGGCAGAGAGGTCAGAGGGGGTAGGGGCGAGGTGTGAGATTAATGGCTCTCGGATGTGCCACATGTTGGTTTTACACCCACACTAGTATCAAATTTTACAGCGAAAATAGCAGTGCATCAATATTACAACAGGTGCGGACTGCACCGGCATAATTTACCGCTCAACTGGCAATGAACGAAGACAATCTGTTACCGTTAAAGGGCGAGCAAAAATATGGCCGATAATTGGCCATGAGACGCCCTTTGATCGCCTCCCTCCATCCTAGGACTTAATCATTGGCATGTTCAGTAACCATAGCTCATTTCCGAAGCTATGTACGACGAGTGGAGAGCGCTGCAATGCGCAGCCCGCATGCAAGTACTCGAGGAGACCTGCCGGGCCATTCGTGAATCCGGTCTCTCAGTGGGTGTGCTGGGAGTGGCATGCTTCTATAGCAGGAATTATCAGGTATGCGTTTGCCATTCGTACTTCGTAGCGTAAACCACATATATACTGCTATGCATTTAACGCTAACTTCCTATCTTTTTAGCTTTGTACTCTTTGGAAATATAAATGTTGAAGAAAATTAAGTTATTTCCTCTGCTGCTAAAGAGAAGCTTACAATAAACTGAGCTGCAATTAAATAAAATTTGCTCAATTTAACCAAGGAAAATGGGTGAAAGTCAAGACATTGTTTATCTTTACGTACATGTTACATGCTACAGCCGATGCAACTGAAGCGTGAGACAGGGGTTGGTATCTTTGTGTCCTTGTTCGAGCCAATAACAATAGGACGATGCCTTTCAGTACACGATTTAATTTGTGAGTCAAGCTGATTCCCATGGATAAACATGAACACTGCTAAGCAGCGCCAGTGAAATGTGAATCAGACATGGAACAAGCTCCCCGCTTTTCGCAGTTGAGTGAGAATACAAGACCAGCACATAACCCGTGTTTAATTGAACGAATATTACACCTTTGCCACTCCTGCAACATTTTGAAGTTGGTAATAACAACTCAATATGAAACAGGCAAATACATTGCAGTATAGCTAATATAAAAATACTTTTTCGCTTCTGACTTAACAAGATAATTACTTGATGAGCATTGAGCATGCCTATAGATCAGTCTTGTTTCTCCATTACATTATCTAATTTCATTACCCGGTACCTTTAGCTGGAATTGAATCGACACCTGAGCTAATGCCAGCCTCTTCAATCCATTGTTGGCACTGATCGATGCAAACGCGGAGCGAGGACGGAAGGGGTGGGTGAGAGGACGGAAGGGGGCGGGGTCAACGGCAGGAATATGGGGGTGGAGCGGGATGTGGGCGGGATGTGAAGCTGTGGGCGGGGGCGGGCTGACGCTGGACCGGCGGCCATGGGCGGGGACGGGGGCGGGGGCGGGGTCGGGGGCGGCTGACGGCAGGTCCCATTTGCATCATGGCTGGCCTCCGACCAGCTGGCATACCGTCCATACTGTCACGAGGTGGAGCAGGTGCCACGGCGCCCACCCCGCCCGGCCGAAATACTGCATCATGTGCACGGGAACTCCCGTCACGACGTGGGACGTACCTACGTCATGAGTGCGCCGGGCCAGGGCCATGAGTCACGTGCTGCTCGACAGCCCTGATCGTGTCCATGTGTAGGCAATAGGCATGTATAAAAGGAAGACATTTGGCAGCTGCTAAAAGTGCCGCCTTGTCGTTAAAAGCAGCATTCAATGGATGTTTAACATATGGTCGAAAAAGCTTTGGGGTCTTTTTGAAATATTCCAAACACGTATCTTGAGTTAATTTCCTATCAAAGGCCTGCTGAGCCCGTCTATTAGCATCCAATGATTGATATTACCGCTAAATGCCGGCTGTCAAACATGAAGGGCCATTGCTCACTTCAACCGCAAGCAGTAATCGCATAAAAGCTTTAACCTACAAACATTAGAAGCTTCAAAAAGGAGCCGAGTCCGATTAGGAGGTTGACATCAGAACATCAATTATGCCCGATTAGGTTTTTGTAATTACATAACCAGCAATGTTGGCATGTCCGTGTCAAACATTGATCGAGCGCAGGTGTTGCCGATGATTCGCTACTGTTTTTGTGATTGATATTCTGTTCCCTTTAAAGGTCAAATGACATGCACATAGGTCTTGACGGTTTTTCACAACAGCTGGTGACGTAAAAATACGACCAAATTCCTTCCCGTTATATGAAGCTAATACACCAATGCGCTGTTTTCTAGGAGTTTCGTTTGAAGTTCTCTGACGTTTGGGCTTATATAAGCACCACATGGAGCCGGCGACGTTTCGTCAAGGGTTCAGCTTTGTCGATACTGCCGCAGTGAGCACTGCTCCAACAGAAGCCATGCAGCATGGGTGTCAGCTATAGCGTGAACATTGTTGGTAGATTTAAAACAGAACTCATGTCGCAACTTCGCTCCGATTGTTGTAACAAACAGTTATTAGTCCTAGTTTCGTTGTATTACTAAAAGTTTTCATCCATTTGCCTTTGTAATAGTGAGAAGAAGCTTTTGTTCAAATGTTTAGACGAGCTTGGTAAGCAGCAACAAACTAAAATGTATGGAAATTACGCGCTGTTAAAGTAATCTTTTCTTGTATCTGAAAGTCAAGCTGGTTGTTGTTTTGGGCCCAAAATCAAAGTAACAAGTGTTTCAGAACCGGGCAAAGCCAAGCATATGTAGACCAAACTTATAGTTTTTTCCATTTCCGTTCATTCAACTTCCATGCTGTAAATTATCGTTTATGCAACTGCTTCATTTTCTAAAGATAATTACCCAGTAGAAGTCCTGGTTTTGTATGATATCTCGAGGCTTCTAAATTTCATATCTGTGACTTCATCCCAAAATCAGACATTTCCTTTTCGCCAGACCCATCGAGCTTTATATGTCCTTAGTCACAGTCCCCTTCCAGACATGAGCTCAGATGGTTTCAGCAGCTTTTGTGAGCATGACCACGGAGATCAAATTACCGCTCACGGGTTCGCGACTAGCCACAAATCTCAACTGGTGCTCGGGACAACTCCATGGCTGACCACTGGACCTGGCGAAACATTACAGCTAACCGCACTACACAAATTAACGCTAGAAAAATTGGCCGATTAGGTTAATGATTATTGAGGAGACTGTTTCAAAGGGATGATTTCATTCGCGGTAGGCGGATAACTTTGAACAAGAAACATCAATCAAGCTCAAATATGTAGATTGGAGGATTTCAATGACTTGTAGGCTTACAATGAATGATAATCTATACTCTCTGTCGTACAATGAAGGCATAATCAATTCGATTTTTCAAAAAATAGGGATGACAGCGTTAGTAAAGACAGCCGATAACATTGTGTTTAGCGCAAGAAAAAATAAAAAGGGCAAAAATGAAGCTTTATAAGTGCCTAACATTTTTATTATGCATCATTACATAACGGTGCAATTTTCCAATATTTTTATCTAAATGGATACCGTAACAAAATTATAGGTATCCCTTCAAAAATAGATTTTTTTCTTCAAATAATATGTAAGATGTTGAGAAAATGTGCACACCTTTCGAGAGAGATATACACCGATGCCTATTCAAGCTGCATATGTTAGCTCATTTATTACGCAATTAGCATGTCGCGAAAATCAGCGAACAAATTAAAACAGCGCCTTTTTAATATTTATTCTACAACTCAAACGGACAACCGTGTTCCAAAATAATCAATGACCATGTCTGCCCTATCGATCTATTACTGTTTCAAACTTTTTCTGAGAACTGCATTTGGTGACTGGATAGTAAGTCCCTCGTAATTTGATTGACATCAACTGGACCATAAATCTCACGTAATTTGGAATTTCTATCAGCGTATATTATGAGATTACGATTCTTTCGCCATTATCATATCGTGCTCGCTCCTTTCGCTTGATTGATTGGATCAATTTTTGTGGGTGTGACAGATCGATGTTATCATATGACTTCCACACGACCTAATAGGGACGCCTTATGGGCGCTCATGACATAAAATCAAGATAGCCCGCCGCGAAGTTTTATCCGGTGTTGCTGCAATCATTTTACCACCATAGGCCGATTTGTCATCAGCATCTCCGGCCATTAAATTCTTAAATGGCTGCCTGACGACACCATCGGGCCATGCGCTGTCCGCAGGAGACATTCAGTGTCCCATCAGAACCACTGCAGCCGCTCGCTCTGCCATTGCTGTCAATAGATAAGCAGCCAACGCCTGGTTACCGTTGAGAGGAGAGGAGTCTCGCCCTTACCTGGGCCTGTAGTGAATGTGGTCCTGGTGGTCTGTGGTGCCGCGCTCGCACGGGACCAGCGGTCCCTCACACACCCGGTCACACAGCGGGACCACCTCCGACCTGCGGGGAAGGACCAGAGGTCAGGTCAAGGTCAGGTGGGGTCAACAGGTAACACAGCGGGACCACCTCCGACCTGTGGGGAGAACCGGAGGTCAGGTCAAGGTCAGATGAGGTCAACAGGTCACGGGGCACGTCTAGCTCCCAGCTAGCTGTCGGAAATCGGTCCATCATTTCAGGGTCCTAGGGTCAGGTATGTTCAAACAGTCGCACTGTCAGAAACCAGTAAAAAATTTCGGACTTTCGGTCTGCTCATTTAGGCATACGTTACATGACCAGACGACAGATATGCAATAAGGAGGACCTAACTGGTCCCCGGCAGCGTGGCTCTGTTCCACTGACCCCAACCGGATGTCATCATTCAGCAGCGACAGCATACGGATCCAGTGGTCAAGTGTCGCTCGAGTTTTTAATCACAGATAACTCATAACAATAGGTCCGGGCGTCGAAGCACCGGAAAGAAACCGTGGGCCCGCATACATTTGGCCGGCGAACAGCTGTGCCCTCTTTGAACTCTCAACAATCAACATTCGACAAAGGAACGCTCATGTTCCATTTCCACAAAGTTGACCTTTGTTGCTGACCTTCCTCGTGCTAACTAAGCCAGGTCACCTGAAACTACTGCTGTAAACCTTCCACCAATTTTGCTAGTGACTGTGCGATGAGGCATAACACCCTTCACTAGACGCGGTAAGCCTCACACATGAACCACCATTCCGCGAAACCTTTTCCTTCCAGTTGGCTTAACTTTACAAAACAAGCACCCACAACTATGTGTGAAACACCCGTCGCGCCCCGTGTGGCAGGTATGCACTGCTGATGTGATAGCGTTGTCAGGAGGCTCCTGTTGCGGGTCTGAATACCACGATCCATTTGGAGGTCTGTGAACAGTGAACAGTGAACACTCTCAGCTGTCTCGGGTACAGTCCGCACTCACTGTTGGTGCACACAGTAAACGGAATGGATGGAGCCCGGAGAGAGAGAGAGAGAGAGAGAGAGAGAGAGAGAGAGAGAGAGAGAGAGAGAGAGAGGGAGAGAGAGAGAGAGAGAGAGGAGAGAGAGAGAGAGAGAGAGAGAGGGAGAGAGAGAGAGAGAGAGAGAGAGAGAGAGAGAGAGAGAGAGAGAGAGAGAGAGAGAGAGAGAGAGAGAGAGAGAGAGAGAGAGAGAGAGAGAGAGAGAGAGAGAGAGAGAGAGAGAGAGAGAGAGAGAGAGAGAGAGAGAGAGAGAGAGAGAGAGAGAGAGAGAGAGAGAGAGAGAGAGAGAGAGAGAGAGAGAGAGAGAGAGAGAGAGGCTGTAAACGTGTTTAGCTCCCATGGTAGCTGATAGGGCAGATAAAGGGCGTAGACCGGCTTGCATGCGGACAGGGCCACTTATTTTCGGAGAACGGGGCCGGCCTCGAAGTTGCAGTTTGGAATGGCTGCATACGTTGAGCGGTGATAGCGGCGCCTTTGGCTTAACAGATGATCCGGATTTGTTCGAGACATTCCAAAGCTTACTCGGATTTATCATGGCTAAGCGAGATGTTCAAAAGGCTTCGACCGATTATGAAAAGTTTACAAGATATACGAGTATGCAAATTCGTTCGGCGCACCATATTCAGCATATCATTTTAAACAAACGAACTGATGGTTTCTTCATAAAAGACACAAAACAGTGCTTATGCCGCCACTTGAATATGCATTTATGGCTGAAGCTGACTTTCCTTGATAAAGGAAACGGTCAATGATTTTTAAGGCAATGATGTGGATTTACCAATCATATAAAGCCTGTATCCGTAGGATCGGCTGTCGCTCTGACTAGATCCACTCGTAACGGTGGACAGTGGATATGTGCGGCGCGGATCAAGAAAGGAACCGCGTAACAGAAACATGAGACGCCGAGCCGCCACAATGTACATAATCGGCTCGGAAACCTAATTCAGGTGGCAGAACCGGCTGGCAGACATTCTAACGGTAGACGTTACAGCGGACAGCGCAGTCAACACATAGGCATCACTAGGGTGACCCGCGTGCTCCGCAACGCGAAAAGGGATATTTTCGATCGGCGGGTGTTCGGTTGTTCTTGTGTCGGTTGGGTTATCCATCCCTTTCGGTGGATTGCTTTTTGACGGCTAAACGTTTTGGTTTGGAAAAAATATCCACCGCATCGGGGTGCCCGTGTCTGATAAGCATGCTTTCCACTTCAGAATCTGTCAAATGTGTTTTATAATTGAGGTGCGTAGTTTTAAGACAAATGAAAGGCGTAGATAATTTTCACTAAAAATCGTTTTGCAGAGGTTTGAAACATTTATATTTTTAAGAATACTGTTGCTTGTCATGCAAACGTGATGATTTGATCTTGGAGAGAATTGAATGCTCTTTCCAATGATAGCATTTTCAATTGTTAAACGTATCAGGTTAAGCAGCAAAATCCGTGTAATTATTTAGTGGCACATTTTGGACAAATACCATTTAATTCAGCGATTTTTTCCACATTGTTTTCCATCAATTGGCTTTTCACAATTTTTCCATGAGAGACGGTACATTTTTATTGCTAACAGGCGCTGTTTCAACTCATTCCGTCTGACGATCACCTGAAATTAATATAAATTCCAAAATCCGTCCAAAACGTCCATTTTTCAAAAGAAAGTGTCCTCCCCGGTGCACGTGGCGCGTGCCAACCCCTGCACCGCACACCATTCGATAGCCCGTTCGATTCTCTACACGATGGTGTTTTCCCCGTGCCAATCGGGCCCACGGTTACCGAGATATTGCACGGAAACCGGACCCGTGTCGGGCCAATTTAGCCATTTTCGCCCGTTTTTGCCAGCCGATTTATACATGTAAAGTCTATGGCGCGAATTTGCACTTTTCGGGCACGCGCCACGCGCTCGCTATCGACCCGATCGAGCTGAGACCCATCAAAGGCACGTTGTCCATCCTTGTTCTATGAGTTGCACAAACTTCAGCGCGGTAGGTGCAACGGTGTGACCTGTAACCCGCGCTACGTAGCACCATGTCGCGACCTTCGAAATAGACAGAAACTACGTCACCACAAATAGTAATATAGATGGTTGGTTCAACATTGGGTTCAACAGACCTCACAGAAGGAACATAAAGAGGGGAGCTCTTGTCACTTCATGATGGGCCCGTCCTCAAACAGAAGTTTGCATTGGTAGATGTGAGTTGGGACACCCGTTTTCGTGTCAACATGTGATGATAGCACGTTATGAAGGTGAAACTCCTGGTAGAATATTCCATCGCTACTGTTCAGCACTTTGCATCGATGTCACTCAGCACGTAACCATGGCGTAATGCTTACCTACATGCCTTTTTGCATGCTGCTCTGATACCACCCGCACGTTAAACAGCCCACAAACGAGCCATCAGCGCCTAATAATCGAACTGAAATCCGACCGGCATAACTCGTCAGCATTGAGCGGTCCGTACACGTGTACTCTATGCCCTGCGGCCTGCAGTCGGGGTCCGCCCCCGCCGCCCCGCCGTCCGTGCAGCTGCTTCTGTCTCCGGGAGCTGTCCTCAGCTGAGGTGTTCAGCTCAGGGGAGGTGACACGCTCAGTCACCTCCCTCTCACCCTCCTCTCTCTCCCTCTGCCGGCCGGGAGCGCAGGGAACATTGCACGGGTTCTGTGTCTGCGGTTGACGAACGACTGGTTATTACATGAGGGATAAACGAGCTTCGAAAGATGGAGCCCATACCTTTACCAAATGAGAAATGATGACCATACTCAAAGGAGAACCACGTTGCAAATCTTCTGATGAAGCGGTTAGTACAGGAATTAGTCAGCTGTGGCATTATTCTCCGTCGGCTCTCATAACCATGTCGTATCGTTTATCAACAGCCGGCGAGTTAGGCCAACCATTTGATGTTATCGCCGGCTCCAGGGCCCCGGGCGGCTATATTTCACCGCGGCGTTTGGCAGCGTCGTAACGGCGCCGTCTCGGCGCCTGACCAGCGACCACCCGCGGGTCGGCAGCGGTCCGATTGGATTGTGTCAGGTTGGGCTGGACTGGGCCAGGTCAGGCACGGTCACAGCTCGGGTCGGTCCGCAGGTCAGATCAGGTCAGGACAGATATAGAATGGGATTCGAGTCAGGTTGGGTCGGTTCGGTTCAGGTCGGGTCGTGTCACGGTCAAACCATCAGATCAGCGGACTATCATTCCATCAGGGTTGAGTCGGGTCGGGTCAGGCCGGAGCGGGTCGCAGATCAGACCAGGTCAGGTCAGGTAAGATTCAGTTCAGTTTGAGTCGAGTCTGACCCAGCCATGCCGGGTCACGTCACGTCACCTCACGCCATGACCCCTCCAGCCGCTCACGGAAGCTGGTCCAGACCGAAAGACTACCGCGGTATGCACCCCGACACCGCGTCGACGACAGAATGTGTCAGCTCAGTGGCGGCGTCGAGCGCCCCGCCCCGGCAGACAGCGTTTCGTCAGACACGGCAGGGCTTCCGGCCGGGGGTGGCCGGCGGCCGCCCACAATGGGGGCTGCCACCGCCCAACAGACCTACTGCATCACCCATCGAGTGACGCAACAGACACACCGACGCCGGCCAACATCCGGGCCATGAATGGAGCGCCGGACAAAGTGGCAAACGCTTCCCATGACTGATTCAATCACATGGATTCGGCTGGGTCTGTAGATTGCACCAACCACCAACCAATCAACAATAGGATTATCCGGGAACCGGCCTTCTGCAGCATTCCAGAAGCATGGCGTCCCCAGAGCTTCAGTCGATGTTGATTCATAACCTATCGGCAGCGTGCAATGCGCATCTGTGTTTACTCTGGATCTCGGTGGCGGCATGGCGAAGTCATTTCTATTTTCCCCAGTCGACGGCATGCGAACATGTCTTTGTCTGCCAATTCAAACTCGTGCTGGTCCCATGCCTGTCTGATCCGAATCTGTATCGACCACTGTTGCGCATTTCGCCAGTCGGTAGAGAAACTTTCACGCTATGTTCTCAAGACAGAGTCGTTGGAAGTCATTTGGAATGAATCCATT